CCTCTGAATGAAAACAAGCTGCCAGGGCTTCTTAAAAGCTTAGCCTATTCTATCAGTCAAAGCAATTCTATCAGTCAAAGCAATCACAAAGCCAACTGAAATTTAAGGAGAGAGGAATAGACTTTACCTCTTGAAGGGAAAAGTACCATATAACTACAGGGATGAGAGAAATGGTTAGTGTCTATCTTTGGAGACAATCTACCATGAGCTAATTCACATAGAATTCTACATACAATATCAGGGAGTTCATCAATCCATGAGAATCATCTATGAAGTATCCTGTGCTTTCCAGAGCCCTGGGTTAAGGATCCCTGCTTTAAAATATAAACTAACTGTAGTTTATCCCAGGAATGCAAGGTTGGTTTCATATTCAAAAGGCAATGAATTCAATTCATGATATTAATAGAAGAAAGGAAAAAACATATGATCATCTCAATAAGTGCATGCAAAAAAAGAATTTGACAAAATTCAACATCCATTTGTAAAAAACAAACAACAACAAACAAACTTCTCAATAAACAAGGAACGAAGGAAACTTCCTCAATGTAATAAAAAAAATCTAAATATCTGACAGCTAACATACTTGATGGTGAAATAGTAAACACTCCTGAATATTGGAAACAAGACAAGGATATCTGCTCTCACCACCTCTAGTCATCAAGAATGATCTATTGCTCTGATACTCTAAATTCTGTCTCTGAATTAAGCTGGATATTCAAAGGCCTACTTCCCTGTACTGCACTGTATAGACTTCTGGTGGAATCACCTTTTTTCCCCCTGGAATGTACTCTGCTGTGGTGCCACAGTCTACATTGAAAAATAATATAAGACTCAGCCATATACTCACATACACTGCTGGTGGAAGTGAAAATTCACATCATCAAATAGAATCTGGCAGCATATTAGAAGAATAATCACTGTGACCAAGTATTTTTTTACTGGAAATGCAATGATGATTCAACATTAGGAAAGCTTTTAAAATAATTGATCATAATATGTTGAAGGAGAAAAATCATATCACTCTCCAAATATTACTGAAGTTAATAAAATTCAAAATCCATTCTGATAAAAATTCTTATATTATTCCATATTATTTATATACAAATATATAAATAATATATAAATATATAAATAATATAAATATACAAATAATATAGAAAGTCTTATATTGATATGTATCCTTTTCATACATTGATAAAAAAATTATATGTCTCAAGGCCAAAAGCTACCTTCCAATTAAAGCTAGAAAAAAAGGGTAGGATGAGCATCATAGTCACTATTGTTATTTTTTACTTTTTAATATGAAGGAATTAATACTCACAGGAGAATTATAACATTTATGTGATGGTCTCAAGATAAAATATTCTTTTGCTGTCATTTTTATTTTTCACATTTTAGTAATCTCAAGATTCTTATAACCTCATAGATTGAATAGTGAGAAAAAAGTGTTTTAATATTAACAAACCAATTTAAAAGTGAGCAATGATAGATACAGAGAACAGATTAATAGTTGCCAGAGGCAGGAGTGGGGTAGGGGGGTGGACAAAATGGGTGAAGGAGGTCAAAAGGTATAAATTTTCAGTTATAAAATAAGTCATTGGGCTATAATGTACAACGTGGTGACTATAGTTAGTAATACTGTGTTTCATATTTGAAAGTTGCTAAGACAGTAAATCTTAAAAAGTTCTCGTCATGAGAAAAAAATTATAACCATGTATGCTGATGGATGTGAACTAGACTTACTGTGGTGATCATTTTGCAGTATATACAAATATTGAATCATGGTGTGGCACACCTGAAACTATTGTTATATGTCAATTATACCTTGATAAAAAATATATTATACTAAAAAAATGAGTAAAGGACTTGAATAGACATTTCTCCAAAGAAGCTATGCAAATGGCCAATAAGCACATTATAAAAGCACATTAAAAGATACTGAACATCACTAATCATTAGGAAAATGCAAATCAAAACCACAATGAGATATCACTTTATACTCATTAAAATGGCTACCATCAGAAAACAAAACAAAACAAAAAAAACAAAAACAGAAAATAACAAGTGTTGCCAAGAATATGGAAGAATTGGAACCCTGTGCACTGTTGGTGGGAATGTAAAATGGTATAGCCTCCATGGAAAACAGTATGGCAGTTCCTCATAAAAATTAAATGTAGAATTACCATTTCCAGCAATTCCACTTCTGGGTATATAACCAAAATAATTGAAAGCATGGTCTGGAATATTTGTATACCCATGTTCACAACAGCATTATTCACAATAGCCAAAAGGTGGAAGCAAATTTAGTGTCCATAAACAGATGAATGGATAAATAAAATGTGGCATACACATAAATGGAATATTATTCAGCCCTAAAAAGGAAAGAAATTCTGACACATGCTAAATATAGATGAACCTTAAGGACATTATGTTAAGTGAAATAAACTAGTCACAGAAAGATAAATACTATCTGTTTCTATTATTTGAGGTACTTAGCATAGTCAAAGTCATAGAGACAAAGTAGAATTGTGGTTGCCAGAGGCCAGGGGGAAGCGGGGGATGTTTGTACACACAGATCCAGGGGAAAGCCTGAAAATCTACCTCCATAAGCAGAGGGCAGGTAAAGACCAAAGAAAGAGGCTGACAACTCCAGTATTACATCAGGGGTTTATTAAGGGAACTTAAATATGAGATGTGTCTTGAGTGCAGCAAAATGATGTGGATATCCTCTATGCCGCATGGAAGGCCCTAAAGAATTATATAGAACTGGGCAGGATGGATAGGGGTACTGGTTTTTGATCTACCTCAAATAAGGGGAAAACGTCTTACATACTGGCCCAGGGAGGGGCAATGATCTGTTCTTTGCTGTGGGGCATAAGGGAGGTGTCAATGAGAGAGTTTCTGAGGGAATTTACAGGAAGTGATCACTCTTACAGCCCAGATCCAGCCTGAGGGTCCAGCAGTGTCACATTACGGAACAGTCTCTCTTCCACAGGGTATGGGAGTTATTTAATGGGTGTAGAGTTTTAATTTTCTAAGATGAAAAGAGTTCTGGAGATTAGTTGCACAACTAAGTGGATGCACTTAACAGTACTGAACTATAAACCAAAAAATGGTTAAGATGGTAAACTTTATGTTATGTGTATTTTACCATAATTAAAGTAAAATAAATATATGAACAAAAGTTTTAACACTATGTAATTCTACTCTTAAAAATCTCTATGTAGATTTACAAAATTTGTTTTAAATCCATTTATAGCACTGCATTTTATGTTGAAAGCAGTTTACATTTGAGAAAAAATAATACCAAAATGTTTAGTCTCATTCTTAAAGCTTTAGTCTAAAAGTTCTAAGTCATCTTCATTCTGCTTATTTATTTAGTATCCATTTATTTGTTCATTTTTTTCCATTTTTTTAAAGTGTGTTTCATTTACGATGAAATAAATAATATTTGTTATATCTTCAATTCATTAACCTTTTCTTCAATGTCTAATCTACTGTTAATCCCATTCAGTATTTTTTTTATCTGATCCATTTTTCATCTCTAGATGAAAATTTTGATTTGGATTATTTCTATGACTCCACTTAAGATTCATCCATGTTTTTGAACATATGATATAATTATAACAAGGTTTTTGTTTACTAATAACAATGAATTATTTTATTCTAAGTTTCAAAATAACAATATTATTACTATAATTACTGAAGTTTTTCGTTTAGAGTTCTTTTTCGTTAGAACACATCTCACTGTGGATATACAATTGAATTTCTGTGTTTTAAAGTCATGTGAAATAATTCCCCACTCTGTAGATAAGCCGTTAACTGGATACTTGGTTTGATTGTTTCATTTTGCTTAATGTTTTAGAGATGTTTTTCCACTGTGATTTAATTCTTTATTATAATTATGTAATAGTTACATGTTTCTATAGCCAAATTATACAACAAATACAAAGTTTGGTTAGACCATGTTTCCTCCCCCTACCAGTAACCATATTTTTAGTTCTTGATTTATGCTTCCATTGTGTTTTTTAAATTGTAAAATATACATAACATGAAATATATTAAATAGGCTATTGATAATAAAAAATAATTTCATAACCTTTGGTAATGGTAATACAATTTTTTTACTTTTGAGTCCAGCCTTTTGGTCAGTTGGACTAACAGGTGAACTCTATTATTAAGGAAACCCTTTGTCCAAAACTATTTCTGTGTTGATGCTGATGCCTGCAATTGCACTATTAAGAGTTTTGTTCTTTGAAGTTATTGGCCCATAATAAATTAAGAATATCCTCAGATAGTTAAAATTCAGATATATAATTAAAAACATAGAGTGAATAAATTTATCAGGTTTTCCATTGTCACATTCAGCTGAAAATAAATCTGGAAAAAAGAAAAAAACTAGGTCTAACATAGGGGACAATTGTTTGGAGAGATTTCTTTTGAGAACCCAGGGCAGAGGAAGCATGATGGCACTGGACACATGCCAAGGAAATGAGGGGGCATGAATGTAAGCGTGTAAGACCTGATGATGCATTTAGAATACTCATCATTTTGTTATTTTTTTGGGTTTTTTTTTTTATCTTTATATTATCAAGTATCCATTCTAAAAAGTACCATCATTTTGAGTAACTATTATAATTGAGTCAAAACTTAAGAATAGCATGGATGTTATAATAATATCTATACATTTCTTAATTTACAAATAAGCTTTATAACATACTAAGGCAATTTAAACTCACTTCATAATATTTGCATATACCACAATCAAAAATTCTTTCTTCTCAGTGTACTAAACACATAAAAATTTTCAGACACCCAAATAGAAAATACAAGTCTTGAACTCATTTAAGACAGGGAATACTTTATTCAAACCCATCAGAGAAATGGACAGGTTGGGTCTGTAACAAAGCATTGTGTTTTAAAGAATAGGCCAGTAATTGTATATGAGAGTATACACTGCTACATACAAATTAACTGATTAGATCACAACTTTTCAATGTTTAAAACAGAATAAGCTTCCCTGTAAAAGCAGCACCTTTGTGACATTTTAACTCCTCTCCCTCAGCACTATCTGCTCCCACCTCCTCATAATCCTTCTCAAGGGCAGCCATGTCCTCACGAGCCTCAGAAAACTCTCCTTCCTCCATGCCCTCACCCACGTACCAGTGAACAAAGGCACGTTTGGCATACATCAGGTCAAACTTGTGGTCCAGGCGAGCCCAGGCCTCAGCTATAGCTGTAGTGTTGCTCAGCATGCACACAGCTCGCTGTACTTTGGCTAGGTCTCCACCAGGCACCACAGTGGGAGGCTGGTAATTAATGCCAACTTTGAAGCCAGTGGGGCACCAGTCCACAAACTGGATGCTGCGCTTGGTCTTGATGGTGGCAATGGCAGCATTGACATCTTTGGGAACCACGTCCCCACGGTACAACAGGCAGCAAGCCATGTATTTACCGTGGCGAGGGTCACATTTTACCATCTGGTTGGCTGGCTCAAAGCACGCATTGGTGATCTCTGCTACAGAAAGCTGTTCATGGTAGGCTTTCTCAGCAGAGATGACAGGGGCATAGGTGGCCAGAGGGAAGTGGATGCGGGGATAGGGTACCAGGTTGGTCTGGAATTCTGTTAGATCAACATTCAGGGCTCCATCAAATCTCAGGGAAGCAGTGATGGAGGATACAATTTGACCTATCAATCTATTCAGGTTAGTGTAGGTTGGGCGCTCAATATCAAGGTTTCTACGACAGATGTCATAGATGGCCTCGTTGTCAACCATGAAGGCACAATCAGAGTGCTCCAGGGTGGTGTGGGTGGTGAGGATGGAGTTGTAGGGCTCAACTACAGCTGTGGAAACCTGGGGGGCTGGGTAAATGGAGAACTCCAGCTTGGACTTCTTGCCATAATCCACAGAAAGACGTTCCATCAGCAGGGAGGTGAACCCAGAACCAGTTCCCCCACCAAAGCTATGGAAAACCAAGAAGCCCTGAAGACCTGTGCACTGGTCAGCCTGTTAAAAAAGAATAGAGAAAACATAGTTATTGCTTTTTGTGTTATAATCAGTAAATATATTTTCACTTTTCATACAATTCCAAGGATATAGACCTTATTTTGATAAGAAACACTTTAAAAATGTAGGCCTTCCTAGAATTACTTAGTATTTCTTATTAAAAATATTTTCATTAAAATTTAAGAAATGACATGAAATAATTCATGTTTTGATTGAACTTTTAAACAAACTATAAAGAAATATTTCATCTTTTTATTATATTTCAATTTTGTGTTTGAAAAAAATAGTATATTTCAAAAGTCTTCCTTAGGCTCATTAGGCTCGTTAACTTATTCTTGAGAATAAACATACCAGCTTCCGAATTCGATCCAAGACAAGGTCAATGATCTCTTTGCCAATGGTGTAGTGCCCACGAGCATAGTTATTGGCGGCATCTTCCTTGCCTGTGATGAGCTGCTCGGGGTGGAAGAGCTGGCGGTAGGTGCCAGTGCGAACTTCATCTGGAAAAGGGAAACAAAGTGGCCATCTATCACCAATAATCTGCACAAGCCTGCTCAACCCCAGGGCATCAATAGAACCCCCGGGACACACGTCCTGCCCCAGACCCTTGGGGAATCACTTGGGTTACTGAGGAACTTCGTTAATGTCCATGGGTTCCAGGTCTACGAACACTGTCCTAGGCACATGCTTGCCAGCGCCTGTCTCACTGAAGAAGGTGTTGAAGGAGTCGTCTCCCCCACCAATGGTTTTGTCACTTGGCATCTGGCCATCAGGCTGGATGCCATGTTCCAGGCAGTAGAGCTCCCAGCAGGCATTGCCAATCTGAACACCAGCCTGGCCAACATGGATGGAGATGCACTCACGCTGTTAAAAGGAAAAGAGAAAAATTGTAAAATTAGTTTGTGTACTTTTTTGTGTGTTAGTATTTTGAATTTTCAGATTTCTAAAAATATTTCTAGTAATATATACATACTCTTCAAATTTATTTGAGGTCTTATCCCTAATAGGATAGAAATAATTATGGAAAAGCATCTGCCTCAAATTCTGCAGATGGGCGTGGCATGAAAAATGTTGCACTGTTTAGCACATGGTGCAAGCCCATTGTTCCCATAGCCATACTTAAATAGATTTTTCATACTTAAAAAAGTCAAAGCACAGATTTTGTAAAATGAAGTTAAATCCAATCATTAATTAATTGGAATCAATATTACTACCTCCTTCCCCTTTAAATAAAGATGAGTTTCTTCTAAATGGCTTGGTATTTCAACATGGACATCTGTATGGCAGCTGAGGTTAGAAGCCACACCCTTTTGCAGTCTATCTGCAGAATCCATCTGTACTACAGGGTTGGAATCTAAACAAGGGCTGACTCCTGCATTGCTGTATTTGCTGTGCCTGGTGCTAGCCTGTACTGTCTGCTGCATTATTTAACAGAGCAAGCTCTATTTCCAGAAACTGCCTACATGATCTCATTGTGCCATTCTGCCAGTTTTCCTCCTCTGAGCCAGGCTAGGACCATATGCCTAAATTGAAATGAATTAATGAAGATGTGCTTGAACAAAAGACAGCGGAACAGAATATAATTCTTCTTTGTCTGCAGCAATTTCATTACTTTTTTAAGTTTCTCCAGAATCTTCTCCACTGTATACTGAAAAAATTTTGAGTATCTTTAAAAAAAAATTCCTAAATTAAAAACAAATGTCATACCAAACAAAGAATAAAACCCAGTGAAAGGATAATGAAACGTTTATTTAAAACAAAAAAATAGTATGTATTTTCATTCTGAGATTCTCTACCCACTACGGAATGTTCATACTCATCATACTCAATAGATATTTTTGAATAGATTTCCTTTATGGTCTTTATGGTTACGGCTTACATGTCTATCCATTGTCTATTCACTGATATATTGGTGGGGGAGAGGGCGTTTCCCGTGGTCCTGGGCATTAGGGTATTCAGGTTCACAAAATGGTCTTTCTCCCTCACTGAACATGCGGCCAAGACAGACAGACAGACAGACAGACAGACACTCTCTCTCTCTCTCTCTCTCTCTCCAGTCAGGGCGGGGGGAGGGGGGGTAGACCCGGACCAGACTTTAGAGGGCTTGTCAAGTGAATTGTGATTTTTGCTCAAGAAAAAATATTTCATCTAAATTTTAGCAGTGAATGAAAAACCTTTTTCAGTTCCACAGTGGTAAAAGACTTTTAATAAGTCTGACAGAAGAGGTTCCGCGAGGGCGAACCCCGCCCAGTGGCTCCAAGGCCAGAGGAGCCAGAAACAAACAACTCCGCCCCAGCGCCGCCCTGACGCCGGCTGCCGCAGGCTCCAACAAAAACTAACCACTTTTTCCTCCCCCCCTGTTAATATACGGGTATCTTTCTAAAATGCCAAAGAACCGGAGAGGAAACTTTTTCTTTTTTTTGCTAACCCAAGGCTTCAATTTATGTCTGTCCTTCTCTCCCCCATTCCTCCCACCTACACCCACTGACCCCTGGGGTCTTTTGGGGGCGATGCCTCCTTTCCTCGCCCCTGGGGAACAACGCGAGGAAGAAAAGAGCCTCTTCGAATCACACGAATACAGTGTGCACATACACTGAGGCTGAGCAGGAGACGCCACGATCGTCTTTCCCTGCCCTAGACCCTTTAATCACCGACAGATGGCTGCTTGCGGTTCCGAAAGGCTCAGATAACAAAAACCCCCTCCACGCCGCCTTTGTTCTTCCCCCACGGTTCTTCCGCGCCCTGGGCGCAGTTCTTGCCTGGCTCTGGCACCCCACACTGAGGCGGCGGCCCGGCTCAAGGATTTGGGACAGACAAAGCTTAACCTCGCCAACAAAGCGTAAGGGCTACCCTTACTCAAAGAAGTTGTAAAGACAAAAGGGACGATTTTCCTACCAGACCGTGGGGGACTGACCCCATCCAACGGCCACAAAAAGGCAGAGAAAACATGTTCTTACCATGGTTGCTGCTTTGCGGCTGCCGAGCGGATGGCTGAGAGGAAGAGGAGAGGTTGTTGCTTCTTACAGCGCGACTCTTAGGCGGTCGATGTAAGAGAACCTGCGGCACATGGGCGGATGCGGCTCCCTATATACAACTCGGTCACCATGGGGATGGGCTGGGGCCTTTTCCTGTTGGTCCAGACCCCTCGGTCTGCCCAGAGAAGCCATGACAGAAGAGTGGTGATTGGTGCAAGCGACATGGAATGAGGTAATCTCTCCCCCACCCCCTTTTCCCTAGCATCCATAGACTGTTTGCATCCTTCAGACAAAGAAACCGAGCGAAAACAGCCGAGCATCCATTATGGGGTGGGGCTGGGGAGGGGGTGCTAAAGGGAAGAGAGAACTGAGGTTGAGATGATTTTATATTGCTTAAACCTCAAACTACGACTAAAATCAGCAGTGTAAGGTTTTTTCCAAATTACTTAATCGCAGAATTTGTGTTGAGATGAAATATTTAATGGAAAATTACTCCAGTCCCTCCCTCAAAGTGTACTAAACTCGACCACATTCGATGAGGATTCAACATCTCTAATTTAAAAGAAAATAAAGTAGGAGAGAAAATAGGAAGGATGCTCAAAATGGCTTGGGTAAGTGTGATTTAAAAAGTTCAATAATAGAGCCATTCAAAGTGGTTTCTCAGGTTCAAGTAATATATTTTCAGACCATCTTTTGCACTCCTCCCACAAATAGCTGAACAAAAATGGAAAATGAGAAGAATAACCGCACTAAATATGGAATCACACAAGCAGTTCTAACATGGCAATAATTAAGATATATCGAACATACTATAGTCAAATAGTTTACTAGAAATAGTTTTTTACAAGAAGTCTATATATTTTATGTAGTGTATTGTTCCTTAAAATTAATTATCTTTCTTGATACAGAATTGAGAAAATACAAAGAGAAAGAATTGAGTTCAGCAGCTAGTACTACCTGTACATGCACTTATATTCTGCATTGCCTATTTTCTGGAATGAGAAAAATAACTGAGACACCAAATTAAAAAAGAGAGAACTGTACAATGTAAAAAGAAAAAGATTTTGTAATGCCTCCATCCGCAGACAACTGTGTAATGTCAGCTCAATAACTGCATTTCTTTTTTATGTAGTACTTATATGAATTTGGTAAATCTCCTCTGAGATTAGGCTTCTAACTGTGGGAATTGCAGCCAGCCTTACACCGTGGCTATTCAACTAGAGACTGGCAGTTGCTCAATTGCTTCTTGGGACAAAAAGGCTTTGCTTTCACCCCCCTAAGGAAATGGATTGCAGTAACATTCTTTTGCTGCTTAGAAAGGCTCCATTATCAACAAGGATGGGCTATGCAGAATAAGACTCTGGACTGGATACCACCTAACATTGCTAATGAAATTTCAGAGGTAAAGAAGTTTATTATGGCCACAAAGTTGAAATTTTGTATTTTCCCTTTGGTTTTCAGTGACAGATTTTCAGGGTCTGCAGCACCATTTACAGTGCTCTGCAGAGCCCATTCATTCCAGCTGGGCTGGCAGGCAGAGCAGGGCATGGGAGGGAGAGACTTGAGGAGACAGCTGCTACAGGTCATTGTGTGAATGGTGGCCATGGATTTTTCTAGTTTGCTATCTGCAGCTTTGCTTTACTTGTTTAAATTTGCTGCAGTAGTCTTCTCTGGCGGGGGGGAGTGGCGGGGAGGACCCACACAAATTATTTCATTCATTTCTTGCATATTTCATAGGAAAAATAATCTTCAACATCATCTTTCTTTAGCAAACAAAAGTATATTTCAGTAAAGAAAAAGTAAGGATGATTTGAATGCTTCTTTCTGAACCCAGAAGTACATTTAACAGAATAAGAAATGGCATGGAAGAGTATAAGGATTAATAAATAGCTCATTAAAACTACTTTCAAAATTTTAATAATGAAATCAGGCACTGTTGGGACCATGGTAAAATGTACAAATCTCCTTTTGGGAATGAGAGAAACAGTCTTGAATTTTTATTTTCTTTACAATATAAAAGAAATATGTCATTTACCCAATAGTCTCAGTTCTTTATGCTGAAGATTAAATAAAAGAGAGGAGGGTTCATGTAGTTGATTCTTCTTTGTAATTCTATCTTAGAGCCATTCTGTTCCTTATGTAAATGAGGATTTTTTTTTTCTCCCCTTGGGCATAAGAACAATAAGATCTAGGTCAGAAATAGACTATTTGAGCACTGATTATCTTAAATATATAAATGAGAGAGTGGACTTAGTATATATAACACATCATGTCACATAATATAGATCATTTCACTCCCTGGTTCTTTGGCATTTTAAGTCTTTTTGTTCTTCATCTGATTTAAAAGCAAGCGAATTATGGGAGGGAAGAAAAATTTTTTTTTATAGTTCACTTCTTATTTTTACTGCCAATTTCTTTAACTTACATCAGTATATATGAATAAATATTCCACTAATGGATTAATTCTTGTTCACAGTGACGTTAGCATAAAACATTTTTTTCTTTCATAATTTTATGGAATTTAAATTTATTTATGTGTCTACGTCTCCGTTAAAATGTGAATCCTAGTCCTTGGCTAAATGCCTAGTATACAGTAGACATTATATACATGTTGGTTGAATTAAATGAACAGCTTCTGTCTGTGCATATTTTCATTAACTATTATCATGGTTAGTAATTTAAAGATATTTAATGAAGTATTTTCCTTTTTTATACAATAAGCATTTACTGAGTGTCTACAATAAGCCCTGGGCCATCCTGTATACTGTGAGAACTCAGAGGTAGTAAGATAGTCTCTTTTCACCAGACTCTTCTACTCTAATTGAAAAAATAAAACAAATACATGTATATAGGTTTAAGAATGGCATGTGTTTGTGTCGGGGGGGCGGGGAGGCACCTTGTAAAATCCATTGCGTGACACCATGTATCATAACTTATGTAGGAAACAAGAGAGTTGTCTAATACTTTTTTTTTACTTCACACCTCTTATATATCCCTAAATTCATTTCAATCTGGATTCTGCTCCTACTACTCCTTAAAACCAAATGCCCTCCATGTTTGCTGCTAAATCCACTGGACACATTTTAGTTCTTTTTGACCTGTGAAAGCTTTGCCACAGTTTTTTACTTGGTAGAAAAATTTCAAATTTTTATTTAATTTATTGGGGCGACATTGGTTAATAAAATTATATAGGTTTCAAGTGTACAATTCTATACTACATCATCCATATGTTGCATTGTGTTCACCACCCAAAGTCAAATCTCCTTCTGTCACCATATATTTGACCCCCTTTATCCCTGTCTACCTCTCCCCCACCATTCTCTCTTTCTCGAGACACTTTCTTCCCTTGGCCTCAAAGACTTTATATTTTCTGGGTTTCCCTCCTACATTTTTTGTTTTTTTCTCAGTCTCTGCTGGTTCTTTCTTCTCTCCTAATCTTTAAATGTTGATGTTTCTCAAGATTCAGTCCTAGACCTTTTCCTCATTTTATTCTATGTGATCTCATCCACTCCTAGTGGATGGTAAATGCATTCATTCTTAAGGCTGCAGACCCTTTCTGTATGTTAATGACTTCCTGGCTTCTCTTCTTAGATCCAGATTGTATAGTAAACTTTCGATTTCTGGCTATATTTCTCAATTTCTGTGTGAAGATAATGAACTAGTTATCTTCACACAAACATGCACTCCTACAAGGTTCTCTTGCTCAGTAAATGGAGCAGCATACACCTTGTTTCCCACATCAGAAATTAGAATTACTCTTGACATCTCCCCCTTTTTTTAAAAAAAAATTTTATCCCCTTTCTTTCCTGACCACCATAGAATCAATCAGTCACTAAGTCTAGTGGTCTACCTCCTAAATATCTCTCAAATCTTATTCTTTCCTCTCCATCTCAACTGCCTCCACTCTAGTACATCATCTCTTGTCTAGACAACCTCAGTGCCCTCCTAGATTTCCTCTGCATTTGCTCCTACCCCTGCCCAGTCCAGTCTCCACACAACAGCCAGAGTGATCTTATTATATATAACGCATCATGTCACATAATATAGATCATTTCACTCTACTGTGTAAATCAGATCAATGGCTGCTTGTTAGTTTTAAGACGAAGATCTCAAATCCTTAATATGGCTCCTTGAATTCTGTAAAAGAGGTAAATGTTATACTTAAAATTCTCTGAGAGGACATATTGATTTTTAAATTACATTAAAGTTCAGAAAATTTCCGAAGAGTTGATTTTGACAGGGAGAAGGGAGGCAAAAGGGTATAAAAAAGCTGAATGTTCACTTAATAATTGTTTGTTATGCTGTAAAGTTGTGTTTTATGCATTTTTTATTATAAATATTTTAACAGTATAAACCCATGAGTTTATAAAGATATCTCCACAAAGCAAAAGAAAACTAAAAGGGAGAAACAAGTGAACTAAAAATAATTATCTGATACCATTATACCATTGGAAGTAACTAGGGCACCAACTTTGTACTCTATACATTGATAATCAAATAGTCAAATAAATAATTGAACATTTGTCCTGCATTTCCTGTACAAACTGTATTTCAAGGTAACCAAATGACCTTAGCTAAGTAGAGAAAATTACTATTTTCCACTAGTAAATGTGGAAGTAAAAATAGAATTAGAAAAATAACTCGTTACATCCTCTAATGAAATAATTTATTCAGGCAAAGATCATCAGTGGATGAAAACTCATATAAAATATGGATAGGAATGTTTTTAATGGAAGAACTAGGCTACTACCATCTGAACTCACTGATCAATCTTAGCATCACTAATTGTGGAATAACCGAACTTTGTGAACCTATGATGTAGTCCAATAGGAAGTACATGACATCATCTATGAAGTGATCTAGCAGAAACAATTGTGCTGAATCTAATCAAGCCTTTAGAACCTCTTAACTTCCATTTATAGGAAATACAGAGGATAGAATAACAAATCAGATGGCATCTCAAGGTGGCAAATAGACAAATGCAGAGTGTGGGACATTCTACAGGACAAATTATTTTGTTTCTGCAACACATCGGTAGTGGAATGGGGTTTAAAAAAGGTGGGAAAGGGGGACTGCTTTAGATTAGAAGATATTTTGGTGACTAACACCAACTATAACAATGGATG